CGATTTAATAGTTGTAGGGTCAGTGATAATATCATTGTCAAATTTAATATTATTAAATTTAACTGGATCTTTATGCCAGTTAAGGATGCTGTATTACCACATATTACTTAAAAGCTCTATAAAAATAAAAATATTAAAAATATAAATATATTAAATATACTTGAATCAGATAATGAAGAAGATAATAACTTGGATAATAATTTATATAATAATTTTGATAATGAATCAAGTGATAGTTCTGATGATAAATTAGATGATGAATTAGATAATAAATTAAATAATGAAATAAATGTTGAGTTAGATAATGAGTCAGATAATGAATCAAATGATGAACTAAATGATAAACTAGAGAATGAAGTAAATGATGAATTAGATAGTGATGAGTTAGATAATGAATTATATAAAGAAATTTTAAATAATAAAAGTAATAATTATTTAGATGATAATTATTATAATAATGGTAAGTAATTTTAAAATAATATAATAATTTTAATTATTAAATAATAATTTAAATAATAATAATTAAATAATAATTTAGAATATATGAAAATGATTCTAATAACTTAAAAGAATGAAGTTTTGATTATTCTATGGATGATATTTCTGACAATGATGATTATTTAGAAGATTATTTTGCAAAAAAAAAAAATAATTAAAAAATAATATTTTATTTTATAAATTAAAATATTAGATTATTAAAAGAATAAAATAAAATAAAAAAAAAAACAAAAAACTAAATTTAAAATAAAAAATTAAAAAAAAATTAAAAAAAAAATATTAAAAAAAAATTAAAATATTAAAATAAAAACAAAAAAAAACTACCATCAAACCTTTTCAAATTGATATATTAGTGGATAATATTTGTATTAAAAAGATTATTATATTTAAAAACATTTTAAACTATTCAATTTTGCAAATTATCAATATTTAAAATATCAGTTTTGAGGGATTTAGCAGTAATTAAAATATAAAAACATTAAGATTATGAAAGTTTAAATAGTTAAGATTATTAAATATTAAGTTTTTTTATATATCTTCTTTATTAAATTTGTAATTATGAATGAATATATAAGATAAGCAACAATGAAATTTACAATTGGCTAATTGGTAAAAGCTGAATATATGTAGGCAAATCTGATTAAAAGTTAATATGTAGTATCTTTATTTAGATATATTATCATTAATAAAGATAAAATTTTAAAAAAAAATTTATCATGTGGTATCATGCGCATTAATGCGCATTCATGCGCATTTTATTATAAAATGTGCATTTTTCCCATCTCTATGCGTGCTACACAATCTGTGCCACTTCGTACATTCCCATACCACAACCCATACCACTTTTCTTATAGGGCCTGCAATCATGTGAACGTAATTTCCTGATCGTTCATATACGTACGTACAGTACGTTGTAAAAGGTGAATAGCGTCTTGAAAGGATTTTTTGGCGTAGTGCAGTAGTGGGTTGGAAAAGATCTACCAGATCTAATATATCTAACAGATATGTTAGATCCGTTGTCTTTGCTTACGGTATCACGTAACGTAAGGTCTTTTTCAAGGCAAAGGCCTATATGTTGGATCTGTTATAAATGTTATATATGTTAGATATGTTATATATGTTAGATATGATAGATATGATAGATAGAAATGGCGAATTAGATAGTAGCCAAAAATGTATATAGGGCCTAAGAGTTCGCCTTGAATAAAGTCAGTTATCGTTTTATACATAAACTCATGAAAGTTCGTTCTCCTAATTCCCCGATAAACTATCTTATAATCCTGTAACTGCGAATTAGAGCCTCGTGACATAGTCTAGAGCTCTATTTGGCCCTAATAACTTGGACTAAGTCTTTTCACGCTTTTTTTGTGCCTTCCAACATTAGGTTCGGATAGAGTTTAGCCGTTTAGTGTGTGATTTGAATTAGTTTAGTATTAGTTGATATCCATGAGACCCATATTTTGAGTTTCCAGATCGATTTACAACTCACAACGTACAGTTAGCGTTGTGCATGCGCATGATTTTTTATACTTATAATTCCCGGCAAAACAGTATAATAGAGTATTTTAAGACCTTTCAAAGATCCTACTATAATCAAATCTAGTTGCAAATCATGGGCAAATGTATTAAATTAAATTAATATACTTATTATATTGTAATTATTCACGTTATACTATAAAATTATTGTATATTAGGTAACATAGATTACATAAGCAGTTTAAAAAAACACAGTTGCATTTAGGATCAGGCAATTGCTAACAAAGATTATAAGATAAATAGCTTTTCTTTCTACATTATAGTTTAATATTTTTTATTTCTTGATAATAAATTATGATTTATAAAATAGATAAAAAATTTGAACGACAAACTTTAAAAAAATTGAAAAAAGATCCCAAAGAGGGATAGGATAAAGAGCAGAAATAATTTTATTGTTTTTTTTATATATTGATTTGAATTTTTTCTTGTTTTTTTGTATGTATGTGCATATATAGATTTGATTTTTACTTGAATAAATTTTTTAATTATATTAAGGACTTTTGCATATTGCTAATAAAAATTAAAATAAATTTTCAGGTTTGTAAATATAATTTTATTAAGGGTATCCCCATCAATGTGATCTGATAGTGATTGTACTCAATTATTACAATTGATCATAATAATGATTGCAATCATTGTTTGAGCAAATCATCCTTGCATTACTCTATTATTCCTATGCCTTCAGCAAATCATAACAAAAAAAAAGTTAAAATCAAGCAAACAAATGTAACACCTTTGTAAGGTTGGGCACGGAAAATCTTCACATAAGGCACGGCATAACACCCTAAAGCATCACGAGAAAATAATTAGTAAAACATCAAATGTAATTAGTAATTTATACGTGATGATTTAGCATCACGACTTCGTGTACATATAATGATTTGAAATCACGCCCGTGATCCAACCTTACTTCTTTACAACACTCAACAAACAAATGCAATTTCGGCAACTCCTTCGCCACAAAAATATCCTTTTCCTTGAACAACTATGTTCAGCTAACAACCAATTTTTACTTGACTGGTCATACTTATCTCCCAGATTACTTCACATCCCTAAGGGGAAAAAACCTGCTTGGTTCCTTTATCTTGAGGAGTCCATTTTA